GCCTTTGAGTAATTTGCACCAATGGAAATAGAGATCCAAGCTCTTTTGGATATTTATGCCATTAAATCATTTCGTGATTGTCCTAAATTTGGGGGCAAAAACTTCTTTGTAAGGAACAGCTGGTCTTTTTTTATTATCATGAATATATATAAATGCAACAACTATATCAATACCATTTTTATTGATGCCATCAAGTTCATCCTAAATTATCATTATTATCTGCCATCTGGTCATATGCAAAGGGTATACTTTTTAGAATGGGGTGTGTTTCTAACACTGGAGGAAATATTTTCATCACAGTATATTGAAAACAGAAGTTGTAAAGAAAGCCATTAGGGAACCTATTTTCAGACTATTCAGAGAATAAGCTTTTTGCTGATATTGTTTTGCAGAGTAAGCATGTAGTTATAAGTAAAAATTTCATAAACCTTTTTCATGGCCTGAGGCCTTATAATCAGCAAAAGTTATTTAACTATCATCACTGAAATGGTCACTGGATACCCTGTCTTTTTGTTAGTCTGTTTTCCATTTATGTTTGAGGAGTAAGCAAGGATAGAGGGATCTGAGATGTCAGGAAGACCAGGGAATGAGATCTGTATTAATCAGCACTCTACATGTCAGGCTGCCCACACCTCCAAAACAGTGTCTTTTGGTCAAGTGTAAGATGTGAATTTTGATGCCACAGGCACAAGCAACTTTGGAAACATTCACTATAAAATTAGACTACATTTGCAAAAAAAAAAAAAAAAAAAAAAAAAAAAGGTTTGGAGTGCTGCCAATCCCTTTTAGCAGCTCTAAACCTAGACTAGCTCCCTTCTCTGGGCTTTCTGTTATTTAAAAGATCAAGAATGTGCTTGAAGATAATCCTTAGGTAAAAGATGAGCAAATTAACCACATTGCTACTTCTAAGAAGAAAATAATCATGAGTTGCTGAGAAATGATAGCTCTTCAAAGCTTTGGGCTAAATACTCTGCTCTTTGGGACACCAAGAGGTAGATCTGCCAAGAGGACTAGCCTTAAAGGTCACTTTAAAGCAAATGATAGGCTGTCAGGTGAAGGACTATAAGAGTTCTGATGACAAATGTCATTTCAATGAGGTCTGTGTGCATGGGAAACTTCTCTCATGATGGAGAAGACATTCCATGAATGCATACATCTGTAATTCACATAGTTGATACATTCACAAACCCTGTATATTTATGTTGGCTTTAGTAATCCTTATTGCCCAGTTATCCTAATTTACCAAGGTAGCATTCCTCCCCAGCCAGCCATTAGCACCACAGAAACTGCCGTGTTTGGCTTCAAGGCACCAGCCACAGAAGCGGGCCCTCTGACAGACCTCCATGGGCAATCCAGTCCAAAAGTTGCAATAACATCTGGTGTTTGGCTTTGTAGCATACAATGAAATTTTCTGGGTGTAGGTGAACGTGTGTAGCCTGCCCTTCCTCCTGACCAAAATTATTAAGGTCATGTAGAATTTCCGAATTGAATCATCAAAATCCCAGGTGGCAATTTTTTTTTCTGGGTTCTTGTGTGTCAATCCTTTTTATTTTTTCAGTGAATTTTCCCCTCTGGTTGAAAGAGGGCCTTGAATTGATTTTTTGATCATGGGGCAAAGGGATTCTGTAGTTCTGTTGTCTTCTTTGCATAATATCATAAATAGGAGTAAAGAGAGAAATTTATGTAGCACATCCACATTAAAAAATGGAATAGTAACAGCACATCACAATCCACAAACAGGTTACGAAGAAGAGGTGGGCCGCTTTTGTCTTCATTCCCCGCCCCCATTTTTGTTTGTCTCTTTCATGGTTCCAGAAGCATCTGTGAAGGACACATGTGTTGGACTAACATGAACTTCAAGTATGTCTGGTCAATTTGTTGCTTGGCCAAGAAAAGGGATACATGTTGAGTATCCCTTATGCAAAATGCTTGGAACCACAACTATTTCAGATTTTTCAGGTTGTTTTTTGTTTTTCTGGTTTTTTATTTTGGAATGTTTGTGTAGTTGATCATCTGACATCAAAATGCTCCATAATTCAAAACTTCTTTGGTGCTTAAAACATTTTGGATAATGGAGCATTTTGGATTTTGGATTTTCAATTTGGGGTATTCTACCAGCACTTGGTACTTTACAATCCTAAAAGGTTACATAGAGTAACTAGGATTTTTTTCATATTATTCCATAAAAGATCTATCAAATCCTTATGTTAAAGATACTATAAGGTGCTTCTGGATGCAGATATAGATATGACCTAGTATGTGTCACCATGTTTTCATGCTAATGGATAAAGATGTTAGACACACACACACACACACACACACACACACACACAAACACAAGTGATGTGTTTGATGAAGATGAAGCAGTGTATCTGTTAGGAACTTGCTATAACCAGTTCAAAGAAAGAATTCTTTGAGAGTAAGCCCTATGTCCTTTAATCTCAGACCTCTGTGTAATAGGGTAGTCATTTGGAGCATCTGTGGTCAATGACTGAATCAGTAGATGTCCATGCTGCTATTGCATAGTGTCTTCATTTGTGAAGAACTTTGAAATTTATTTATCTATTGGAAACTACCACTGAAAAAATTTTAGAAACATAGATATGAAAATTGACCCTCAATTGACTTATCTCATGCATAGGAACAGTAATAATTCATTTTAAGCTACAGTTTGGATGAACTGAAGAAATTTTTAGCTGAAAAAAATCACTAAAAATTGTTTTATCCTGTCTAAACTTTTACCCCACAAGTTTTTTTCCCCAAGATTATTGCATTGGATTTTTGCTATCATGAGCCATTTATGAGTTTTGAAAACTACAGAGGAATTCTCCCTATGATGACCTTTACTTGCAGCAGAATCCTTCCAATAAAGGGTCCTTAAGGAGCAAGGAGAGGTGTGGCTGGCCTTCCTTGTTCTAGCCAAAGATTCTTCTACTTTTCTTCAACCTTGTTTCGGCTTTTACATTTTTTTTCTTCCTACTGCAGGAAGGAAGTATTCCACTGCTGTTTCAAACCAACATCTAGATTAGTGCACCAACACAGTGCATTGTGCTGGGACTCCACAAAGACAAATGTGGTTAACACATGTTGAGAAATAATGCATTTCTGACTCTCTCTTAAAACCCCCAACAACACTGACCAATTTGGTTTCCAGGAGCTAAATTGTTTCCAAATAGAAGGATGCCGCTATGAAGGGATTTGAGATTTTAGTACATTATTCAGGATTTCATTCAGCAAACACTGACGACTAATTATAGTTTAAACATTGTTTTGTGTTGTGGGTTGAAAGTGATAAAGAAACACAGATTTACTCCTAAAGTATACCGTGAAAGTAGGAGTAGCCAATAAGGGAACGAACAATTGCCCTAGGTATAAGGAATTTGATAGACTTTAAGCCAAGAATAAAGGGATGCCTCACCCAGCAAGGGGAAGTGAGAGAAACCTTCCCAAAGGAGATGCTATCTGAACTGAACCAGACAGTGAAGATGCATAGGCCAAAAGAGCACATTAGAATTTCAGGGGCACAATTTTTTTTTAGTCAGTTTTTGTTTGTTTGTTTGTTTGTTTGTCACTGTGACTCAAACACCTAAGAAGAACAACTTAAAAGAGGAAAAGTTTATTTTGGTTCAGAGTTTCAGAGGTTCAGTCCATGGTTGGCTGACTGTAGCTCTGGGCCCAAGGTATGGCAGAACATCATGGTAGAAGGGTGTAATGGCAGAAAGCTGCCAGTTCATGACAGCCAGGAAGCAGAGAGAGAAGGAGGAGCTCTGCTCATTAGGGACAAAATATAAACCACAAAGGTACCACCCCAATGGCCTACTTCCTCCAGCCAGACCCTACCTGCCTGCAATTACCATCCATTTAATCCACGTTAGCAGTTAAAACTCTCGTAACCCAATCATTTCACCTCTGAACAGTCTTGCATTGTCTTACATATGAACTTTTGGGAGGCATTTCATGTCTACACCATAACAACAATTGATGTATCTTACGTGGGGTACTCCTTGAATCCCACAGAGCAGAGAGATGGAGAATGGGTATACTGTAGGACGAAGATGCCTTAGGTGAGTTAACTAGGGGCCAGACCTCAAAGGACTTTGAGTCTAACTCCAGTTTAATTCTAAAGGCCTTTGAGAGACCTGGTAGCACGTTCAGCAAAGGAAGGCTTTAATCTGACTGCACATTTAGAGTGGCACTGTGGCTTCACATTTGTCCTTGTGTGGCTCAAAGTTGTTGAGAGTCCAACACAATGTGAAAGCTCTCAGACCTGAAAGACTGGAGCACATTGAAGAGGGCCCAGAGGTGATTTCAGACACTGTTTTGAAGCACTGTTTTATCGAGGGAAGGATTTGCAAGGTTTCCAACACTAGTATAAAATTGTTAGTAGAATTTGGTTTTTCTTCTTTAAACAAAAAACAGGAATTCCAATGCTGAGACTTTTTTTGTCTCCTGGGTGAGGAAACCTTTCTGTTTTAAACTATAACCACTTATTTTCATTTGCTCTCTGGTGATCTCTTCCCTCCGGCAAATTGAGGCTGATGTAGACACAGCACAAACCTCAGATAATCTTTCAGGGGAGTAACTAAGACATGAGTAAGAGGTTTCCAGTGCCCACGTAATCCATCAACACCTACATACTTCTGCTGGGTTGTAACAATGTCATGAGGAGGAAAAATGTGAAAGGTGGGGAACAGGTGGAGTATTTACCTATCCTTTACATTAAAGGTTGAAGTTGAACAGTGAAGTCCATGATATCAATGCCTGTCAAGGTAGATCTACAAGTTTCATTTGCTAAAACAAAGCATCTATCAACTTTGGCCTTGCTGACACTTCAGGTCCTGATAAAGTGGACAAAGCCCATTGAGTAACACCTTGGATATAATTTCTACAAAAAGAAGAACTATTAGTGGAGATTAATAGAAATCATAAACAAAAGGAAAATAATCATAGATATGTTCCTTGAATCTAAACCCAAACAAAACCCAATAACAATAAAAAGCTAAAGCCATGTTCTTTTTAATTAATTCAAAGTAAACATAAATATGAACCTATAGATAGAGATTCAATAAATATAACCTACTATGTGCTGACATGATTTGACATAGGCTATATAAAGGTTTGTTTTCTAACTGGGAAATGGTTCAGGAGAGATGGGAGACTCTAAATGATGAAATTATGGTTACTCCCAGTGGAAAAGATGCAAAAGAAGTACAAATGATTAAAGTATGTGAAAACATCAGAATGACAAGTAGCTAAGTCAGTATATACAAGTGAGGCAAAAACCTATACGCAGGTGTTTAGGAAAGTCCAGAGGAAGTAAGTCTTGAGGCTTGAACAGCTTGAGAGCTGTTCCCCCACATGCCAAGTAGAACTAGAAGAAAGCATGAGAAAGATGTCAGGGAAAGTAAAAGCCAGTGTCATTACTAGCAGTCCTAGACAGGGGCAACACGGGCAGGACATGATCTCCAGGAACAGGGGTTTAGCTGGTAGCTCTTAAGAATATCCCTTAGCTCCTCTAGGCTTGTATTTCTTCATCTGAAAAAGAAAAAGACATTGAAGGGAATGACAATGGCTGTCCTGGGCTAATGTCTAATTCTTTGGAGCATAAAATATTGTATTATACCTATTCATTCTATTTTCCATTTCCTTCAATACTTTGGTTCATTTCTTAGATTTTCAGCAAATAAGTAAATCCCAGCAAAATTCTAGAAAATATGTTTCTATAGTTTATGGATTCTTAAGAAAAAAGGAAGTGATTAAAGATTCAACATGAATATACAAAAGAAGCTCTAGCAAATAAACACAGATGAGATAAGGGATGTGAAAATATTTAGAGTCTACACAGTAGTACTTAAAAGTGTATCTTATTAGTTTAAATAGCTATTTTAAAAATCTAAATTGGAAGAATGTCATAGAAGAGTTTATATCTTTATTTAAACAAACCATTTGATAATATTTTTGATGCTATTCTTTGAGGTAACATGGAACAATATGGTCATAATACCTAATTAATAAATAGTTGTACATTTATCATTGCAGATAGTTGCAGATTGATGGTGATCACTAGAATCCTTTTCCCAGGTTCTTTCTTGGTATTACCATTGTTGTTATTGTTTAATCAGAACTTGGAGACAGTACAGCACAGTTAAAGTGCTGTGGACAAGTTATACACACACACACACACACACACACACACACCACACACATATGCTAGCTGTGTGATATTTACGTATTTCTTAACCATACTATGCTTCCTTATCCCCTACTATGGAACCCTATCTCACAGGGTTACTCTGAGGATTGAATAGGATAATGTGTATAAGAGATAAACACCAGTAACTTCCCCTTAGTGAACCCTTGATGAATGCTAGCAGCACTTTTTTTTAATATTTGTTTTTAGTTGTAGGTGGACATAGTGACCTTTATTTTTTATTTTCATGTGGTGCCAAGGATCGAACCCAGTGCCTCACATGTGCTAGGCGAGCATTCTACCACTGAGCCACAACCCCAGCCCACTAGCAGCAATTTTGATGATGGTACTGATCATATGGGAGGAAGCGTGCTTGTGAAATGTACAGATGGTACAGAGGTGCTGGTGGTAGCCTCAATCAAAAAGATGACAAATATGCTATAGTGGTGTGCTGAAACCCTCAGAATTTAATGATAAAGGTATAATTTTAAAATTTAAAATTTAATGGAGTCAAATGTGAAATCTTGCCTATAGGTTTTCAAAATTTCAGAAAACTTTCATGGTTTACGTGAAAGAAGAAAGAATAAATTTTGGCTGATATCAACTTGGATTGAATCTGAAGGGTTTTGATGGCCACAGAATCATAGGAACAAATGAGGGGTCCCAGCTGCTCAAAATCGGGGTTATCCTAGCTGGTGTTCAGGGAGGTGTAGTTACCACAGCTCCTCAGACTGCACATTTCCTCTAAGCTCTGTGCCATTCAGATTTAGGAGACTTAAAATATTATTTACATTTATAATTCTCATTTTTAAAAATCACCCATTGTCCAATAACAACAATAGGTTGAGAAATTCTTAAAAATATGTTAATTGAGGAGCTGGAGGTTTCCTAGGGAAAAAAAGTGGTACAGAGGAGATATTTTAATCACTTAATGTTTGAAAGGCTGACTTGAGACATAATTGGATTATGTTTTGTAATAGAAGGTCAAATTGGTGATTCTGGATAAGTATTCATAGAGAGAATGGAGTGGGGCAGAATGATAAACAGAAAACTGTTCCAGAGAGTCAACTGGTAAGACAGCTTCAGGTGAATACGGGGTTGTAGGGTTTATTTTTAAATTATTGAGGTAGAAATTACATATTGTAAAATGCACAAGTCTTAAGTATAGAGAGAAATGACTTTGTACTTATGTATACACCCATCTGACCACCACCCAGAATGAAACATGGAACTTTCCACTATCTCAGAAGGTTGCCTCATACCCTCTTCCAGCCAATAACTGCTCTACAGCCCAGAAGTAACAACTTTCCTGATCTCTATCATCAAATATTAGTTTTCCAAACTTCATGCAACTACTTTAGAATACTGTTGAGCAGTTTCCAGTGAAGTTTAACAAATATCTCCCTTTTGATCGAGTAATTCCATTTCCAGTTATATATCCAAGAGAAGTGAAATGTTGTTGTTGTTGTTTAACTTACACAAGAATGGTCACAGCAGCCTTATTCATCTAACTTAAACCTGGAAGATAATACAAATATTCATTACCAAGAGAATAGATAAACATGAGTATATCCACACAATGAAGTAATATTTAGCAAGGAAAAAGAATGCTGTACTGATACATGTGAATATATGGCTGAATCTCAAAATATCAACCTGAGTAAAAGAAGCCATATATAAAAGAGTATTGTCAGTTTTTTGTCTCTGTAACAAAAATACCTGACAGGAACAATTTAAAGAAGGAAAAGTTTATGTTGGCTCATGGTTCGAGAGGTTTAGTCCATGATTAGTCAAGTTAATTTCTCTGAACTCAAGGTGAGGCAGAATTTCATGGCAGAAGGACTTAGTAGAGGAACGCTTCTCCATTTATGGTAACTAGGAAGCAGAGAGGGGGAAGCGGGGGACGAGCCACAGGGAAGAGGACAAGTCAGTCCAAGATGGACTGATTAGGCTACTGCTGTCACAATCAAATCACTTCACCTCCCAACATTTTTGCATTACCACAAGGAATTTGGGGGGACACCTCATATCCAAACCTTGACAGATGCATACTCTCTGATTTAATTTATGTGAAGTTCAGGATTGTAGCTTTTAATGAAAGATTTTTATGACAATTTGATTTTGCATTCCTAACACACTTGGGGAAATTTCTCTCCCCTTCATGAAAGGACTTGTATGAACACAAGCAGGCAAAGAAGTAAAAGGGAAATTGAACTAATGCTAGCAGATCAGCTTTGCTTAAGTGAGAAACATTTATTTAGCATTCCTTGTTTCTGCAATGAATAATGGAATTAAGTGATATTTCTTTATATCCTTTCCTTTTGTTTCCTCCTTGAGCTTTGTGTGTGAATGTGTTGTTTTGTGGGGATCGAACCAGGGCCTTGAGTATTCTAAGCACGTGCTCTACCACTGAGCGTACACTTAGCCTGAATTATAATTCTTAAGACTTGTGGGTAATAATCACAGCTTAATGCCATTTGCAAAAGGCAACAATACACTGCAGAGTTAAGAGCTTTTTTATACAAAGCTAACTACTTACAATGATCATTGAGTCTTCCTCAAAATAAAATGTCTGAGCGCATTACAGGCAGTATTGGGAAGCAGGTGATTTTTATTCTCTGTTGAAAACTTCTGATACTAACATTTTCATCACTTCTGAAAGCTACCTTCTTCTTTGTACCATTTACTCGTTTTGGTAGTGGTAAAAGCCATGAAATCATGGTAGGCAGATAAAACTGTAGAGGACAGGGTTGGGGATGTTTCAGCGCTAGAGCATTTGCCTAGCTGGCATGCACGAGGTTATGGGTTCAACCCAGCACGTCAAAAACCAATTAAAAAAAAAGAAATATAGAGAACAGATTAGAGTCATCAGTGGATGCAGGAGGAACTTCAAGGAGGGTCAGATATAAAGGGGAAGCACAGGGAAGTATCTTTGTGATGCAACCGTTCTGTACCTTGGTGGTGGTGGTTCTAGGAATCTAAATATGGGATGAAATTGAATTGCATGTAGATACACCTTGAACACATATGAAAATGGTGAAAAATGATCAATACCTGTAGTTTACTTCAAGTACTATACCAATATCATAGTTTCTTTTATTTTTTTTTTTTTGATGTTATACTATAATTATATAAGATCTCACTACTGGGGGAAGCTGAACTTGAGTGAAGCCTTCAGAGGTCTCTTGGTACTTCTTCACAAATTCTTGTGAGCATGGAACATAATAAATTTAAAAATTATTATTAAAATTTAAAAAATTATAGTAGGCACCAATAATCAAGTCTCAGCCTTCTGAAGGTGGGGTAGGAATAAAAGATGTAGGGCTCAGAAGGCAAGCAGCCTATCTTAATTAATTCTCCTAGAAGGTAGTATATGTGGTTCTTCTTAAAAGTAAGCCACATATCAGTTTCTGGCTCTGATTTGGATGTTAGGCAGAAATTAAATTAAAATATGTAAATAAGGTGATGTCCTGGGGCAGGCACACTGCCAAAGGCGCACACTGCCAAAGGCGCACACTGACTTTCACAGGGGTGTTTAGGTGTACTTGACAGATCTACAGGCTGACTGTGCTTCATACCATTGTCTGTACTGTGTCTGGCTCACCAGTGTATTTGCCCATGAGCTTGCTCCAGTCATTTTATAGAACAAAATTCTTCTTTCTAGCATCATCATATTTTTATTCTTTAAAAATTCAGTTATTATATGTAAATCACAGGAAGCTTTGGAAATAGAGAAAAAGCAGTAGAAAAAAATTGCCTAGAATACTATTTTTCAGAAAAAAAATTCATTATTGATATTTGGTATATATTATTTCAGTCTTTTTACTACTTTGCATATAAATTCTTCTAAAAATGAATATTAATTCATTTTTTATAATCATATTTTACTTATCCTTATGTGTACAAATGTTCAATAGAACATTTACATCTAGAAAAATGGAACAGGAACATTTACATTGTATGAGAGTGTGGAGTATATTTCTGGATTAAAGATTCCTTTGATTAGGCATCTCTAGTCCTTGCTGGAACACCTCAGTTATATTTTTTTCTGAATTTCCATCTGGTTAAAAATGTCTATCTGTTGATTAGGTAATCATAATTTTATCCTCATTGAGAAGTTGTTCATTAACTAGAGGTTTTCTTTAGTTTACTGGGTGAGGCTCTGTCTTGCTCTTCCACTTTCAATGGATTATAATCATTGTTGCAGCCTCAGCTCCTTCCTCGGGTTTTCTGTGGTCCTCTCTACACAGAAAGGTACCAGCTTGACCCCTGGATCATACCAGGAAGGGCGGCAACAGGACTTAGACTATTTATATATAAAATGTATAAAAAATACAGTTTTTTAAAATTAGCTTTCAATAGCAATCACTAAGAGACCCTAGAAAATAAGATGTTTCCGGTATTGATTGTCCACACTGGAAAGCTGCTAAGTGTTTAAATGTTAGAAAAGCAAGTCAAACCTCTGAGCCTGACATTCTTTTCTTGGTCATAAGCGCACCATTCACACCACTCTGTAGTATGTGTGTGTTGGGGAAATTTTGCTTGAATACAACTTATGAGATTCAGACTACAAACTCCTCTTTCTCCTTTAGTTCTATGCTGGTACTATGACCTTGCAAAGGCTTAGTCTGTTTATGGCACTACAGAAACCCATTAGGGGAGGGAGACAAAGCGGTGGCAAAGAAGGAACTTGATAATGTTAAGTGAGCTGATCAGAAGATGAAGGACCATCTTGTCTTAAAGAACCATCCTTCCACAAGGCTAATGTAGGGGTGCTTTATGTAGAAGATGGTGAGGACCTTCTCACATGTAGAGGTTTGCAGTCAAATGACACACATTGGATTCTTACTGTTGAGTCACAAGAAGCTTTTCAGTTCTGTAAATCATAAGAATAAAGATCATTATGTCCGCAGGCTATTCTTATCACCAATGAGCTTGCCCACATGCAGTTTCTGACATTACACAATAGACAGGCTATAGGGGCAGCTCCCATAGCCTCTTGCTGATCACCAGGCTCACACTAATGCAAGAAAACATAATTTACCTGATTATCATGGAAGAGAATATTCAAGTGAATTTAAGTCAGCCACAGGATCTGCTCTCAATGCTTGTCTTTAATATTTTCTATAATTGTGTTTTATCATTGTCATTAATATTTCCCACAAAGAGAAATTTCTCAGGCTGGACCTCATGGTAAATACTTGTTGTTCCTTCCTTAGGCTGCTATCAGCTAATTCTTGGCCTTTCCTTTTCAGTCCTACTGCAGTATAAACCTTTCTAAGTTGAAAACAGCTCTATGAAGAAACTTACAGGGCATTCCAGGTGTTAAGAGCTCCTCTAACCGACAGTAAATTTTGCAGCAACTGGAAATAACATTTTTTTTTACCTATTTTTAGTTAAGAACGTCTTCCTATATCAGAGCATAAATTAGGTTATAAGTGCTAAAGAAATACTAATTCATCCTATTTTAAGAAAAAAACCCAGATTATTATTTAAGAACAAATATATCCCCCAAAGGGACTGCCCTCTTTGAGTTGATCTACTCTTTTTATTTGTTCCTTTTAGTTACTCACAACAATAGAGTATATTTTGATATATTTATACAAATATGGAGTATAGCTTGTTCTAATTAGGATCCCAGTCTTGTGGTTGTACCTGATGTGGAGATTCGCTGTGGTGTACTCATATATGTACATAGGATAGTTATGTCAGACTTTTAGTTGTACCCTATACTTTATTTTTCAACTTGTTATCTGAATCTCTTACCTGCCCCCGCCACTCTATCTGAGATTTTCTAAAAAACTTAAAGGAACTATTATTCTGGTTGGAAATTCAACTTCACATGAAAGGAGGTTTATCAGGGATATGAATGAGCAAAACTTTTATCCTTCCCTAAAGATTCCATGTATATATACTCTCTCTCTCTCTCTCTCTCTCTCTCTCTCTATATATATATATATATATATATATATATATATATAATGTATATATATACACAAAAAATATTATATATAATGCAAATATATATATAATATATAATGCAAATATATATATAATATATAATGCAAATATATATATATAATATATAATGCAAATATATATATATATATATATATATATATATATATATATATAGGCATATTTCCTTGAGTTTGACTTTTATGTTTTCAATAAGCACTATTAAAAACTGAATATGAATGTCTTGAAATTTAATACAAAGGAAATTTGGCTCAAATCTGACCACTGAAGGATAATTTATTTTGCTGTGCAGGTTTTTAAGAATTTAGATATTTTTTTTCTTCATATTAGTATTTCATATGCATGTTAAATTAATTTTTATAACTGACAAAAGGTTTCTATTTACCTTTCATATCACAGGTATTCATGTAATAATTAAATTTATGTATTTATATTCTCTGTTTAAACTCAGCATATGAAAGAAAATGCATATTTAAAAGTAGAAGATGATTACTAAAGAGTCAGATTTGAAATATGAATTGTTCACAAAAATAAGAATTACCTTAGTTTCATGTACCACTTTGTTATAGTAAAGAAGAACTGAAGTTCTTATGTAAGGTGTGCATTAAAATATTCTTAATATATACTTCATTGCATTGGCATGATTAAAATGCTCATGTATTGAAAATCCTTGTTGTTTTTACGGCAAACTTACAAGAGCTCCTGCTTTTTTTTTCTCTAACAGATATAAGCTTACCAAAGTCGGCAACAATATGCTACACAGCTGCCTTGCTCAAAGCAAGAGCTGTCTCTGACAAGTAAGTGAGCAATGACTGGTGCGGTACCAATGGCCTCCCTGACTTCAGCTGTGTTGCCTCTGAGGGCTTTCTCTGGAAGTTTCCTAGTCTATGAGACTCCTGCTTATGAGCATGCATTTCCCAAATCCTGCTGATCTTTTCTTTCACTACTAGAAGGAGGAAATGTGTATCGAAGGTATTGTAAGGGTGTGGGTTGCCTAAAGAAGGATTTATTATTGAAAGCCTGTGCTTCTGAGGTGACTTTTTTCTTTTTGTCAGACAGTAGATACCAAAAGGCCTGCTTGGAACTTACACAAAAATGCTGTCCTTTTGTTGTTGTTGGTTTTTTTTTTTCTTTTTTTGGATAGTCCTCTTCTTTCTGCAGTCCACGACTGGATAATGCAGTGTGGCCTAGGGGATGTCATCTCACAGTCTTTGCCTTATCAGTTCCACATCAGCTCCCCACTCAGAGTCTGTTTCCTTTGAGATGCCATCTCAGTGGGACATTGCCCATTTTGTTCAGGCAGGTGACTATGGCATGTAGAATTTCTGTAAACATCCAGGGATGACTGGCAGGTGAAAGAGTAGAGATGGCTTAACTGTTTTTGAGTTCATAAATGCTTCCACTTCCCTGATACAATTCCTCTTGTCGCATTGAAAAGCAGAGAACAGGAAACAGCCTCTGCTGTGTCAGACAGGTTTGCTGTTAAGTGTGTGTGCACTTTAAGACCGAAGTAATTTTCTTTCATTCTTTTTTATCCTGTAGATCGCCAGTACCTACTGCAACATCTTTTCTCCCTACACAGCGACTCCAGCTTGGGAGGGCAGGGCCAGGGTTGTCACAGCTTCCCCTGTGGTGTCTGCCTGCCAAGCACAGCTCTGGAGTTAGCCCTGGGTGTGAGGTGAGAAAGAGATTGCATGGTCTGGTTTTTTTCATTCACTGGGCAGGTGTCTCGCCCACAGTTTGGGCATGCACCCCCTCTGCCGGGACGGCCCAAGCAGGCTCGCCTGCGGCTGAAGCTGCAAAGACTTAACCCTCCATCGCAGCACTGACATTGGGTTGGGAGCCTCCTTTAAAATTCTCCCCAGTTCTGTTTTTAACCAAGTGCGCTCTTCTGTAACCTGGTTTTCTCTTTTTCCTACACTATCTGCCCTTGTCAGTCCTTCCCCCACCCCTCACCTAAGCAGGTACTTCATAGAAAATTTAGATTAGCTATTTAGACAGAGAGACTTGACAGCTGAATTCAATTCCTGCCTCTATTAGATGCAAGCACGCTTTCTGCTTCTGCTGGGGTTTTTGCTGGCCTCCATCTGAGGGGTCACTCAGAGGTTCCATGTAGTGGAAGTTTGGAGAGCTAATGCCATTGGCTCGCTATGGTTTTATGGGCCCTTGATGTGTAGATGCCTTTCTGGATTGATGCCCAAGCAGTGGTCCCAACTGGATGGTGTTTGTCTTTCTGCTTTTCAGATTCTCTCCCGAGGCTGCATCTCGGCGGGGGCTGAGCACAGCAGAGATGAATGCAGTAGAGGCCATTCACAGAGCTGTGGAATTTAATCCTCACGTGCCAAAAGTGAGTCTGTGCAATCCCCACAGGAGCTCGTTATGATAGCAGAGAAAGCATTCACTTAACACCATGTCATGTCTCCAATATGCCCAGCTTTAAAAAAATGAATTGCAACCAATAAGTGTTGAGGTCCTGTAGAGTCTATAGGCATTAAGTCTCTTTCTAAAGCAAAAGCTACACTCAAGAGACCTTGGGACTGATTTTTGGACCTCACCTAATAAGGTATATAAATAGACCTTTTTAGGCAGGACAGGTCTGAAATTAGAAAAAAGTGAAGCTCCCAAGAGTTTGATGCATTTGATAGGAATTTCACACCAGTTATAACCTTACATAGACCAAACTTGGGAAATAAATTTTGTTGTGGATAAAACTGGTAAAAATACTTACTAATGTGACAAATCTTTGTAAGTAAATAGTTATTAATCAGTATTGGCAAAAAATAATAGGGAAAACCTGAAAGTATGTAGTATTTTGATTTGTGATATCATTCTATTAGGTATATGTAGTTAGGAATACTTGTCTTAGCTGTTAACCATAGGATTCATCAATTTGTAAATCCCAGTATTACCCATATTTTTTTCTGAAGTAGATTTTAATGGAATCAGGAGATGGATGTGTATTTTTGATTAACCTGTGTTTGAGTACCTGCTCTGTGGTAGGTATCTAGATTAGGGTCAATTTCAATCTCTTGACATTAAGCACATCCTAACTTCTAAGAAACTATTCTTACAATTCATATCGGGTATCATAAGGCCTAACTTTCTTAGAAAACTGTCTGATGAAAACTTTCTGGAGAAAAATGACCAAGGACAGCTATTTACTTGTGTTGTTGCAGTACTTAAGCAAAAGGTGTGTGTGTGTGTGTGTGTGTGTGTGTGAATGTGCGTGTGTGTGAATGTGCGTATTGAGATGATTTATGGAGTTACCTACTGTAATTTATTTTGTTGGTGTCTAGAGTGACAGAGATAAGTGATCTAATATCATTCCTGAGGTTTTACTCAAGGTCATCTTTTCACATAATAGGAAATTGAAGAGCCATGCACAGTGCCATATTTGCAGAAGGATGCATTTATCCACTCTATTGCCAGCAGATAGTAACCCACAAAATATTTGCAGACTTAAGTATTATATATAGTGTGCTATAAATATGTATTCATATATTTTACTTAAGCTAAAAATACTTATTGAATTTTGACTAAAATTTAAAACTAATCATAAAAATATTGTCCTGAGTTACAATAAACTTAGGTCATCCATCAATATTTATTGAATACCATTCTATAATGACAGAGCCAGTCTATGTGCATAAATAAGGCTCTTTTAGAAGTAGTTATTGAGCAGAAGAGTTCTGCATTCTAAGGCAAAAAAGAGTTCAGATTCTGGCTGTTATTAATCAGACATGAAACCTTGGACTTAGCACTTCTGCTCAAAAGTTTCCCCTCATCTTTCAAATTAAGATAAAAATATAAGCCCTGCCTATCTTCTGTGATAAATATCAAGTGAGATAATGTATTTGAAATTCTTGAAAAACACTGGACCATGTTTCTGTTAATTATTAAAACAGTTGATACTTGATTTGTTGGAGGCCCCTCAAGTTTAGAAACCAGGTTTTAACTTTTCCAATAATGTTAACTAGAACCTAAGAATCCCAAGTGCAAGATAGAAAATCTGTATAATTCTTGTTGGTTAGATATTTTGATTAGTCATTTTATCCTATGATAATGGTCTGAAGTGGTTAATTGAGCCTCTAAAATGTTATAAAAAGGCCCTTAGAAATAGTTCCTGGAAGAATTTGGCACAGTCAGTTGGCATTTCTGCAAAACAGAATTATCCTACAAATGGAAACATTTCAAATATTTTTTACTAATATATATTTTAATTGACACATAGTAATTATACATATTAATGGGGTACAGTGAAGCATTTCAATGCATGCATATAGTGCAAAGTGACCAGATCAGGGCATCTCTACCATCTCAGATGTACATCATTTCTTTGAGAACATTTCAAATATCTGATGTCACTCCATTTTCTAATCAGGAAGTAGAGAAGTCAGAGTACCTAGGTAAACTGATTTTATACCCTTTGCTTTGTTGGTAATCATAGGAAGGGGAAAAAAATCTCTTCATCTGTTCACATGCCACAGGGAAAGGTCCTTGTGATTCACTGGCCTCATCTGTTTGGAATTACCCATGAACTCTGGTGCATGGGTACGGTATACAGGATGCTCTAGGCATCTTTACACATGTTCTGCTATTCATTGGATGACTTGTAGGCAGAGAATAACCTTAAGTCTAATGAGACATCAGTGAAGGCTTTACACTTTGTGTAAAAAAAGACCTTAAAGACCATCTTGGTCACCTTCCCATCCTAAACGTAGCTCTCTCCTCATAATGATATTTTAATTATTGATTTCTGTACTGAACCTCATAGGCCCTCTCATTTACTTTTCATAACAACATGGTAAAGTGTATCATTGCTATTATTCATATTACAAAATGAGGACAAGTTAGAAAGGTTAAAGAACCTGCTCATGGTCATGCAGCAGGGTTATCTGCTCTTAAATATCACCTTTCATTTCATCTCAGATCCTACCAGTGGGCAGAGCCTAGACCTGACCCTTCAAATGATGATAGGCATGTTGTATTCCAAGGCATTCAACTCCTTGTGGACAATCCAGGTTTCTTCAAGATGGTAAACATGTCCATGGCTTGTTTTTATCTATCACAGGGAATTCTCCTGGGCCTCCATAGTTATTTTTAATATCTTCATGCTCTTTTTGCAGTCTACTTAGACTGAGGGATAAATATCCAATAGAGAAGCTGAGAACTGCCTGCCATTGCTCTCCAGCATGGTTTAATCTGGTATCCCATTAAGCAAAGGTATATTGGAAATATTTCACCATCAGTGCTCATTATTATTTACCCAGGAGGGTGACTCCTAGGAACTCTCTTCATCTGCAGACATGAGGAGTAGGGAGTAAGTGTCGCTCCTCACTACGCCACTGGTGAATCAATAACATTTGCGAATAGCCACCCATCTCCATTCTGAAGGAGAGCCTTTAAAGTAGTCAGTCAGATGCTAACCACTAAGATTTCTGAAGTTTTAGGTTATAGCAGATTAGTAAGGAGGAAGCAGGCACATGGACTCAGCCTTACAAATCCAATTGTTAACTCCCCTGCCAAAACATTGCATCTGTGTCCGCAGCGCCCACAGAAAAAGGTATTTTAATGCTTTTTTATGCATTTTATGCCTTAGAGGGTCCTTTGGGACCCTTCATATTCTGACCCAACTTGTGTTTCATTTTTCCTAGCTCCTTCTACACTCTGTTTCTTTGCAGAAGCAACCTCCCCTTCTTCCCTCTTTGTTTTCTCTGGGAAATCCCACTTTTGCTCATTCCCCCACCATTAAAGTCACCACCAAGAAGCCTGTCCTTCCTTATCATCAGAATTATTCTCTCTCCTCTGTGGTCTCTTGCTGTACTGCCATGATTATGCACTTGCTGTTTACCTTTTTTTTTAATGGTAGTTGTGTGTTTTAGGATCTTGATGCTGTTAATTTTTAAGAACTGAGTAAACAGTTCATGAAAAAGAAATATTTAACCTATTTAGAGGGTTTTCTTCCCCCATTTAATGGAAACAAAACTGAAGATTTTTATTTAAAGTGAGTATTCTCCACTTTTGAAAGAAAAATTTACTCATGTGGTGCTGGATGTATGAGGAACTACTCTCAATTCAATATCTTCATCTTTGTATTATAGTTTATTGGATTTTGGGTTGGTTTTTTTTTTTACCCACAAATATGTTTCCTCACCTGCCAATTTTGAGATTCCCCTTGGGTCAGAGTCAGGGAGACATTTCTGTCAGTGACTCATTATTTCATACAGACCTGATTAACTCGTGCTTACGTGTTATTGGTGTGCTATGTCTACACCACAAGCACTTCCCTGTGAGGAGGCGCATTTTTTTTTTGAGCTTGTTATATTAATTCCTTCAGGGTGGCAAAGATAAACCTTTACTTTTTGTCAAGTTTCCAAAAAAAAAAATGGAGGCTAAGTATTTGTTATAGTCAGTATTAGATACTCTTTTTCCCTCGATATTGGTGTCATAAAGCAACTTCTTTTTATGTTAAAAAAAATCACTCATGATCCTAGGATCTACTCATATTTAAAATAATTTTATTTTAGTCTTTTTATGCATTTTAATGCTTACATTTTCATATTTAAAAAATTAATGTATAGTCTTTGGACTATGTAGGTATTAGGGACATATGTATGGTTTCTTGGGGAGAATCATAAGATTTCTAGAGATTTTGACCTAAAAAGATCATCCTCCAACTTAACATTAAAGCCAAAGTCTTTCTGTCTATGTGCCTTTGACTCTTTTAAAGATGGTCTCTATAAATGTTTTCTGGATACTTCGTGGGGTGGGGGATGGGTGTGTGTGCGTTAAATAAAAATAACATGTAATGTGAATTCTACCCCTTAAATTTCTTAGCATACAGTACTGTTAGCTTATGCATGTTGTTGTACAGTAGATCTCTTGAAGTTCTTCATCCTACATGACTAAAACTCCATTCCCATTGAACAACATCCTATTTCCTTCTCATCCCACCTCCTGGCAACCACTATTCTAACTTTGCTTCAGGGAGTTTGACTACTATAGATATCTCATATAGGTAGAATTACAGTATTAGTGACAGGCTTATTTCACTTAGTGTAATGTCTTCAAAGTCTTCATTGGTAGTATAGAGCAGGATGCCCTCTTTTTAAGGCTGAATAATATTCCATTACATCTTTTTCTTTTTGAAAAAATTGGTAGTTGTAGATGGACAGAATGCCCTTATTTTATTTATTTTTATGTGGTGCTAAGGATCAAACCCAGTGCCTCACACATGCTAGATAAGCACTCTACCACTGGGCCACAACCCCAGCACTTCCATTACATTTTCTGTATCCATTCATCTGTCCATGAACATTTAGGTTGTTTCCACCTCTTGGATGTTGT